AGGCCATTGCTATACACGAAGGCATTTAATATGGAGGACAGAAGACAAACCGGTGATGACTTGACTAAAGAAAACTGGAGAAACTAAGCTATTAGCGAAGGATACAAATTTTGAACAGACATAAAGTCATTCAAGGTGCAAGTTGACGTATAGGATGACTCAAACTTCCTGCGATTTGACAGCCGAGATATCTGCCTCCAATTGGGAACGGTGAAAGTTAACACCAGCTTCAGACTTGATCTCCGTGTCCTTTCTATCCCACTTCTTCACAGTAGAGTGGAAGGTGTCCGCTGCTTTCACGAATTCGTGCTTAGCTGACTGGACGGCTTTCTGGATCTTTCCTAGGTCTTTGGTCTTGGCAACGCCGGCTATCCTGATGATGGATGGCTGGAAGCTCGACAAGAACTCATCCACTTTAGAGTTCATCTCCATACTGAACACCTTGCCCTCATAAAGCTTGTCACCATCAGGCAGTTTCTCCCACTTTCTCAGTTTTCCTTTTTGGATTGCTTTGTTGATCTGCTCATTCCAGGTCTTAATGTTTGTCTTCGTATGCTTCGTGGCCGTATGAAGAAGGTCCAGAATTTTCTTGATTCTCTCCTTGGCTTGAAGAGTGTCAACTATCTTGATAGTGTTGCGAATGAGCTCTTCAACCATCGAGACTCGGATCATCGTCTTGATTACTTTCTTGACAATTTCCGTGGCTCCCTTCTGCGCCGTCTTCTCGGCTGCTTCCTCAACTGCTTTGTCCGCCGCCATTTCACCGGCTTCAGCACCGTCTTCAGCTGCTATGTCGGCTACAGTCGCGGCTGCTGTCTCTCCAGCTGCCGCTGCTGGGCCCTCAGCTGCAGCTGCGGCGGCGGCGTCCGCTGCTGCGTCTGCTCCTGCCGCTGCGGCTGCATCAGCAGCAGCCTGTGCCGCAGCTGCAGCCGCAGCAGTCGCGGCCTCACCGGCTGCCTCAGCCGCAGCAGCCGCACTAGCTGCTGCAGCTGTGGCTGCTTCGATAGCAATTTCCGCAGCAATTCCAATGATGATACCCATTTTCGGGAAGACTGACGATACTTGCAAACTGTAATTTTATTGTTCACGTTGGAAATGTTGAGGAAATTGATTCTAGTGACTGTTTCCAACTCTTTTATAAGCACAGCACAGGGAGTGCAATGTTGTTGGAGAGGAATCGGTATCAGACGAGCGCACCAGCCTCCATAACACCTGACAATAATCACTGAATCTCCCAATAAACAATCCGGAGCTGTAGTGGAGTGTGTTGAGTAGGATGATGGCAGTAGTATCCGGCTCCCGTGATAGAAGCTCGGCTCCAGCCATCCACTGGACCACTGGGGGCGGGCGAAGATACTAGAGCAACATTAGCAGTTAATGACGACCGAAATTATTATTCTCGGTGAAGTGTATTGTAGTCAGATGCAGAACCCTGTATGGTAGTCGTGTGTCAGGCAGGTGTCAAATCAAGTTGGAGGAAACGAGCGAGCTGCAGTGTGGGAAAACACCTTTCCTGTAAAGAATTTCCGGCGAGTCTCGAGTCTGTGCACAATCTGTTCATCTTCATCCAGGTTCATGAGTACTTGTCAAGTGGAGACTTCAGGAAGGAAGCCTTACTGAAGAGAGTGGCAGGACTCGCCAAAAGGTCAGCTGTTCACTAATCACCCCGTGACATTCGGGCTGTGGCTGGCACAAGACTGCCAGAAAAATTGAGCAATGACTCTACTGTTCAACGTCCCCTATCAGACATCCCTCCGAGTGTCCCTTAACCTTACAGCTGGCCAAGCTGGCCTGCATGCTCTCGTACTCACCTTTTGTCTCCTTTTGTTCTGTTGGCCTGGGTAGCTACTTGCGCGCCCATAATTGCCATAGCTACCCAGGCCCTTTATCTTGCCGTTCACACTTGATCTCTCTCTCTCTCTCTCTCTCTCTCTCTCTCTCTCCCCCTCTCTCTCCCTCTCTCTTTCTCTCTCTCTCTCCCCCTCTCTCCCTCTCTCTCTCTCTCTCTCTCTCTCTCTCTCTCTCTCTCTCTCTCTCTCTCTCTCTCTCTCTCTCTCTCTCTCTCTCTCTCTCTCTCTCCTCTCTCTCTCTCTCTCTCTCTCTCTCTCTCTCTCTCTCTCTCTCTCTCTCTCTCTCTCTCTCTCTCTCTCTCTCTCTCTCTCTCTCTCTCTCTCTCTCTCTCTCTCTCTCTCTCTCTCTCTCTCTCTCTCTCTCTCTCTCTCTCTCTCTCTCTCTCTCTCTCTCTCTCTCTCTCTCTCTCTCTCTCTCTCTTGTCTCACTCTTCCACAATGTACAATGTAGTCGTTTCGTTCGTCTTGGTCTCTGTCTCTTCGTCTCCCTAATAAATGTTCGACCTAACCTGTTCCCGTTGTCCGTCATGTCTGGAGAATACGTCGTCGTCCTTTTCGTACTCAACACATAATTCACCAGTCTAAAATCCACTATACAACGTTCAAACTTGGAATCAACTGTGAAGACTTAAGCTGGACATCGCTCACTATACAGTCCAGCCAGCAAGCATAATACAATCATGTCTTATTCAAAATTGGATGTAGTATCTGCTAAAGCCAGTGAACATTAACCGGAAAATCGCCTCTCACAAGTCGACCATCCTTAGTAGCAATATACGTATAAAGAGAAGTAAGTAGTGTCAGAGGAGCATATTCTTCTCAAATTGTGTGCACACACATACACTTGCACAATGCTAAGAAAACACCAATAAAAGAGAAGAAATACGATACAAATGCAACTCCAGCAGCCATGCAAACGTCCACCAGTTTACACAAACAGTCAAGAGGAATAACAATATTATAATATTATCTACGAAACGAATGCCTATGTGAGTGTGTGCACGAACATTTACACAGTAGTATAAGAGAGTGGGCCTCTTACATCCGCCGCAAGGTCGGGAGCCCCATTGCAGGTTATTGCTGCCGGCTGTGCTGAAACGGGCAGAGGCGTGACTGCTGGCCTTTGCATGCCGGTAGGCATTCGTATTAGGTAACGATTTCGTGTGAAGCTTTTGCGTTCAATTTTATATTTTCAATTGAGTGTTCTATCTATTTCGGAAACTGGGTTGTCTTTTTGCTTTGACTCTTCCTTCATGGTGTTGTGAATAAAACAGTTCTCAAGTATAAGAGAGTAATAGTGCCAGTAAAGTAAAGTAAATTATCGTGTCCGTTCCCGAAGGGAACTCACGACGGCCGCTACCACCCGTTAAATCCTAGCGGCAGATGCAGCGCCTAACGGTGGGGGTGAGTGGATACGTCTCACAACCACTGGCACAATAGTGCCAGTAGCCAGCATAATACTAGCACATGCTGAGAGTACGAAATATGTTGCGACATTGGAGGTGATTCGTGAAGAAAGTGTCATTTTATTGTTCACGTTGGAAAGGTTGAGAAAATTGATTCTAGTGACTGTTTCCAACTCTTTTTGTAAGCACAGCACAGCGAGTGCAACGTTGTTGGAGAGGAATCGATATCAGACGAGCGCACCAGCCTCCATAACACCTGACAACAATCACTGAATCTTCCAATAAACAATCCGGAGCTATAGTGGAGTGTGTTGAGTAGGATGATGGCAGTAGTGCCCTGCTCCCTTGAGAGAAGCGCGGCTCCAGACATCCACTGGACCACTGGATGCGGGCGGAGATACTGGAGTAACGTTAGCAGTTATTGACGAGCGAAATTATTATTATCGATATTGTAAGTATTGTCGTCAGATGCAGAACCCTGGATGATAGTCATGAACCAAATTAAAATTAAAAAAATTCACGGTTCGCGTGAGACTCGGCTGGAAGCCGGGTTTTCAGCATCCGTAGGAACGCCACCACCCTTCAAGGATCAAGGCGCAGATGCATCTCCTAAAGCGGTGGGAGGTGAGTAGATCAGCTCACCAGCAAGTGGTCAAAGACCGAAAATCCCATCCACTGCATCCATGTTTTCCTCATGCCAGGCCACGAGTTCCCAATTAACTGTGGGTCGCAGCACGGCTGGAAAAAATCCTTCCCCTTCCAAGCAGGACTTGAACCTGGTACCCTCTGTTTCTCAATCATGGTCTTAGACAATCCCACTATGCCTGTCTGAGTCAGTGAGTCAGGCAAGTGTCAAATCAAGATTGGAGGAAACGAGCGAGCTCCAATGTGGGGAAAGCACCTTTCCCATAAAAGATGTCTGAGTTAGAAAATATACTTCAAAGCGAACTGTTCAAGCACTATCCTCATCATTTTAGTTTACTAGTATGGCTACAGCCCCAGACCTGTAACGGCACTCAGCTGCTCGAGTCCATGCACAATCTGTTCATCTTCATCCCACTAATTACATCCCTCCCCAATTTCATTATTACTGCTTTCTATCTGCATTCGCCACCTTTTCATTGGGCAGATCTGCCTGTTTGATTTGCGAACTAAAATAAACACAACAACAACAACATCTGGATTCATGAGTACGTGTCAAGTTCATGAGTACGTGTCAAGTTCATGAGCATGTGTCAAGTTCATGAGTATGTGTCAAGCGGAGACTTCAGGCAGGAAGCCGATACTGAAGAGATTGGCAGGACTCGCCAAAAGGCCAGCTGTTCACCTATCACCTTGTGAAATTTGGTCTGTGTCTGGCACAAGACTGCAGGAAAAATTGAACAATGCCCCCACTGTGCAACGTCCCATATCAGACATCCCTCAGAGCGCCCCTAAACCTTACAGCGTTTACTCCCCTGACCAGTGTGATAATAGAAGTTAATAATTAAAATTATGTTGGACTCAGTACTGAGACAGTTGGGCCCATATGAGGTTTGCCCCTTTCCATAGTTCACCTTCTTGACTATAATATTATTATTTAGATAGCTGTCCTGGCGTAGCTATGGGCGCTGCATAGTTCCCTATCGGACTTCGTACACACAGCAGCGAATAAAAGGCGGACTCATCCAATGATAGGCAGACATCCTTGGTTTTGAGTTATTTTACTTCTTGAAACTACAACGTGAAAGTTTTTCTCGCCAATATGGGTATTGTTGTTGGTGTTGCTGGTGAGGTTGCAGCTGATGCTGCTGCTGAGGCCGCTACTGAAGCAGCAGCTGAGGCTGCAGGAGAGGCTGCAGCCGAAGCAGCAGGGGAAGCGGCTGCTGATGCAGCTGCAGAGGCAGCAGCAGAAGGAGCAGATGACGCAGCAGACGAAGCTGCTGTCGAAGCGGCGGGAGAAGCATCAGCCGAGGGAGCGGTCGAAGCTGCTGTTGAAAAAGCAGTTCCCGCGGGTTCGAGTCAAATTTTCAGGGAGGTGGTTCGTGCTGTCGTTATCGTCAGCTTGGTCAAGACAGCCATCACAGCCACCATTAAAATTGTTAAAGCTTTACTAGCAAAGGATACAATACAGAAACTGCTCGAGAAGCTTCACAAGGCTCTTCAAGACGCTCAAAACAACATGAAGACGTGGAATGACCAAATCGCCAAGGCCATCAAGGATGGAAAGCTGACGGAGATGAGGAAGTTGGAGGACGAGGTGGAAATGACTATAGGTTATCTCTTCAGTGCTGAAATGAATGCCAAGGTCACTGCCTTCCTCTCAGCTGTTCAAGGTCCCGTTTTGAATGTTAGCAGTGTCGCCAAGTCCTCGAAGAACATCGAAAAGATCGAGGATGCTCTTGGGAAGGCCAAGGATGCATTCCTGAAGGCCTCTGACCCTTTCTTGGCCATCGTGAAGAAATGGGATGCCAAGGATAATGCGATCAAGAAGGAAGCTGGAGTTGATTTCCAGGTGGCCCAGCTTGAAGCCAACATTAAAGCCGTCAGGGACCAACCGGTTTAATTGAGCGTCTGGCCCACCTGAATGTGAGCCATCAAACTTATGATCGTTGCGTCAACCTGTAGTATTAATTTCGATAAGGATTGCATCTGAAGACTAGCTCCAAAATTGTCCTTCGTTGATCTTGTGCCCAATGCATTTCGATATGACACACTTGCCAACCCAGCCAAAGCAAATCCCTTAGTCACATACCCATTTTCCCTTAATTTTCTCTCATTTCCTTTATTTTCCTGGTTTTCGCCAATTTCGGCCATTTTCTCTTTTTTGGGGCAATTTTTGATTAATTTTTGCGTATTTTTCCGCAATGTTTTGGCAATGTTTTATTCATTTGGGACTCATTGCTCATTGGGGGACCAAAACCTGAGTTTCTTTTTTGTCAGATCGCCCCTACATGTGTGATTCTGTGAAATGCAGGGTCGCATGTGCCCTTGCCACACGATAAAACAACCTTTTTATGAACACTCATGGTTCAGTGCCGATTCCGGTAGTTTTTCGATTAAAGTCAAAAAGCCTCGGTAGGCCGGCAGTGACCGTAGTTTCCCGGTACAATACCGGGAAAACCGGTATTGTTGGCAAGTATGATATGATTGCGTCTCAAGACATCTCCTTAAATTAACACAGGTCTCGATTGGGTAGTGGCAAGTGGAGACTTATATCATACATGAATTCTGGTGTAGAACATTTTGTTTAGTGTCTTTCATCCACTATCACACTACTAGTATAACTACATGACTGTGCTGATAAAACCATTACACTGTAGTGCTGGTGTGTTTTGTTTGAGGTCACAAACGATCCACCAGTTGTGTGCGAGGGGGCCAGTGGTTTGGGCCAGTGCGAGGTGGTCAGTGGTTAGGGCCAGTGCCACCAACCGCATCAGAGTCAAACCATGCACGACCCAGTGTCACCACTGTTTATCATATGCACCGGCTTACAACAATGTATAGATTTTTGGTTGGAGGAAAGCAAATCAGCACAAGAAGCACAGAAGCCATATACTTTCGACTAGGTTATAAGGACTTGCTTAGTAATAATACAGCACGCATATAGCTCATGAAAAATCCAATGAGGGTCATGCATCTGTCGACAACGTCGAGCCAGTGCGTTCTGTCTGAGGCAAGTTGCTCCGCTTCCAAAAGAGATATATTGAGAAGTAAAAGGTCATTCCTAATATTGTCCACCCATCTGGTCACCGGGCGACCTCTGGGCTTCTTTATATCTGTTATATTCATTGCCATGTGAAGGGCTTTGTAGGACACAGCGTCCTTCCCTTCGCGAATGACATGTCCAAACCATAATAAGCGCCGGCGTCTACAGACTTCACTTATTGGGCACTGAGCAGTTTTAGCATAAAGAGAATTATTCGAAATTTTATTGGGAAAGATGATTCCAAGTATGTATCTGACTTTACGGCGGTGCCATACATCAATTTTGCTTTCTAAGGCTTTTGTTAGAGTCCATAGCGCGCAGTTATATAGGAGAACTGGCAAAATGAGACAGTTGAACATGCTTAAGCGGGACTGCGGGGTATGGCGTTTCCATGATACACTGGAAAATGCCCGTTTCGCTGCTATTACACGTGCTTCAATGTCCTCCGCTGACCCCAGATGAGAACCCAACAGTTCAACCGACCTCCAGGAGGCATCTGACTTTGTAGCTGTTACAAATTGTGTTTCGCTGATATTTAGTTTTAAGTTGTCTTCTGCGAAGATGGGTTCGCATTTCTCTACGGTTGCTTCAACTGCTGTCCGGCTGTGGTCATGCACTGTTGTATCATCTGCATACAGGGTGAACTTAGTAGGTAGATTGACTTGTTCCGGGCAGGCTTCTCTGATCCTCTGCATTGCACCTTCTGCGTAGACAATATACATAAGGGGTGACAGGGGTCCCCCTGCACCACTCCAACATTAGTTGGAAATGACTGATTGAGCTGCTTTCCCAGCTTCACGCGAGCAGAGGTTTCGGAGACTAGTTGTTGAATAGTGCTAACACAGGCTTGCTTGCTACCTTGTTAATCACCATTGTATTCGACTTGAAGAGCAATGGTACGAAAGGCGTAGTCGAAAGTATAATGGCTTCTGTGCTTCGTGTGCTGCTTACAATGTACATTCCACATGCTGTTTATCATGGACTGCCACTGCTAACGACTTCAGGAATATCGACGCCTCCGGCGCACACTGCCCATTGGTGGCGAAAACCAACGGCGTGAACGAGCCGCGGTCGACGTTGTTGATCCGGCTCGAGTAATGGCACTTCTTTTGCCTCTCATTGTCAAACAACTGGCTCGCTACTCCCAAACGCGGCAGCAAAGACGGCCTTGGGTGGGTAATCCGAACATCAAAAAAGGCGTTTTGGTGTCGCATCCCGAAACCGCGGGCCCATATGTCTGCACGAGCGGCATCAGCTCTAATACTCGAGACCGTTTCACGGTGGAGAGGCAGCAGAACAGGCTCCAACTCGACATCATACGCCACCTCGGACATGGCACCAGCCAGCAGGTCCCGAACCTCGGTGTGACGTTGCGTTGGGTACCCACCACAGGGGCATGTCATAGCGTGGTGGCTTGCCATGTCTTTGCCACACACGCATGATGTTGACAAACCTTCCAAGGGATGGCCATATCGTAGATCCACCGCATCACGGAAATCCGTCTTGCTTAAAACGGTCCCAGGCATTGCAGTTGCAGGTGGAGTTGTCAACCAACTTGAGACGCCATCTTTACCTGCGACCTCTACCAGTAGCCGTTGCGTGGGCAGGAGGCCGGATCGGATCTCCTCCAAGTTCCGCTGCTGAACACGGCGCGCTGCTCGAGCACCTGCAGCCAATGTCCTGCATGCTGTTACCATAGCCGACACCTCATGCGTGGAGCTGCCACCGACTACCTACTCCACCATAGATGCAATGGCGTCTCGGCACAAGGTGCGCTCAGCGGCCGCCTGTGACACATAGCTGCGCACCGCAAGACCACCACCAAGCTTTGCCGGAAGGGAAAGCAATGCTCGTAAACCTCCCTCAACCGGCACAGAATGGCCCGTGAATGCAGGCAGCAGCTGATCATTAATGACGCGATCCAGGGGTGCGTATAGTGCCCCGTCAGCATTAGTGGCCGTGCTCCGACTGCATGCGCAGCAAGTGCACGCGCCCGCAGTCGCATGCGCAGCAAGTGCACGCGCCCGCAGCACGTGACTGGGGCATGACTGCACAACACCAGCAAACTGTTACTTCAAGCTAGCACGACGGTGAAGCCAATATGTGCCTCACCAGCGTGCAGTAGTAGTAGGTACTGCGAACATGACATGCAACAACAGTCCCGCAAGAGGTGCAAAAACCGCAGGTGAGGAACACACACACGCCGCAAAGGGATAACCCTACCAGCAAGTCCCCCACGCCCAAAGCGGGCCTGCACGGCAAGGCACAGCCGCCCCTAGGCAAAGTCAGCAACAGGAAAACAGGGAAATTACAATGGCTACTCAGCGGATAGACAGCCCATCTGGCTTTAAGAATGGCCTATAGTCTGTTTCAAAAAGATTTACAATCAGGTTTGGGTCTTAAAAAGTATGAAGATAAGGGAAATTTGGACAACAAAGTACATAGAATGGCCGACACGGCAAATTGTTCTGTGAAGGTTTCGGAACAATTGGATCAGCCATTAAGGAGTTAGAATTTCGGCCAGGTTTCCGGCCTTTTCCCATGGTTTACAATTTGCCCTGGAAGCCAGTATCGATTTTTTATCAAAACCCACGATTTATCCTTTCCTTTTTGGCCTTGTGGTTCTGAATGCTGTCTGCTGACCATGAAGTTGTGAGTTTGAATCCCAACCTATCCTTAAGTCAAACTTTTGTTCTTCATTGTTTTGGTGATAAAGCTGGTACATTGTACAAGACAAAGAAGATGGCTGCACCAAACGACTTGTTGTTGTTGTTGGAGCTCGCGCTTCCTGCCAAACTGACTGACACTTGACCGGCTCACGCCATGTGAACACACCCACAACACTGCAATGGTGTGAGTGACTATGGAAGTCATTGCACTGTAACTTTTTGAGATTTATTCTAGTATTTCAAGATCGCCAATTTTTTTGAATTTAGCAGTCAACGCTGTCTTCTATCAGCGTTCACAAGCGTCTGCTTTTCTCAAAATGTCGTCGAAGTCACACGGATAGCTTTGCCAAGTCATGGCCTTGGGAATGAGTCCGTGTCGATGTCGTTTTCGTCACACGGTGAGTAAATTGCATCGCAGCTCAAAGAAACTATTTTGGTCACAAAACGAATTGGGATCCATGCCGCTCGTCAACATTTACAACACTTTCGTTTCGACATGTCCTCTCTGACTCCATTATCGATACGAGGAAGAACTCGTTTGTTGTAAACCAGACGTACATGACTGTATCCACGACTACGTGAGTGAGTTGTCATTTTTCCTGCTTTCGCGCGGAATATTTCTTCGTTCGGCCGACTTTGCTTCGTCCTCGTTGAAAAGTGATCCTGAAAAAAAGGTCGATTCGCAAAATTATGTTGATTTTCAATGTACGAGATGACATGCGATTGCTGGCTATGATAGGGCTTTCAAATGCAAGATCATAACGTGAAGCAACTTGGAAGAATGAGTATGAATGCAAAATGTATCGGGTAATGCATGTAGGGCGATTGTGCGGGTTCGTCCCAGGTAATGCCTTGAAAAAATTAGGAGAATTGAAAAATTTATAACATGGCCCTATGCTTTTTTGCCTAGGTCATCAAGGTGGTAGACAGTGTCGTATTACCCTCGACCGTACCTGTCCCGTATCGTACCATCAAAGACGGCTGGCCACAAAAAGCTGGCCACAATATTCTAATAGGGCTTTCAAATGCAAGATCATAACGTGAAGCAACTTGGAAGAAATAGTATGTATGTGAAGTGTATCGGGGGGGGGGGGGGGGGGGGGGGTGCATGCAGGGCGATAGTGCGGGTTATGTCCTAAAAATAAAGAGGAGAAATGATAAATTTACTGTGCTCTTTTTGCCTAGGTC